TAATGTGGTCAAATGATCTTATGCATAAATTAAACCAATAAAATAAATGTGCTGCGTTCACCACCTTCAGTTCTGGCAGTATGTCAGATATCACTCAAAATTAAAAAGCAAGTATTGGTTGATTTATATATTGATCTATTGATTGGCTTGCTTTTGTACAAGACCTTAAGAGTTTTGGTCTGAATCTTAAGATTTATAGTTCAGCCCTTTTAAACAGACAGATAAGAAAAAAAGAACGCAGAAAATGTATGATCTCATTAGCTAGCATACTTAAGCACAGCGGGGAACACTCAGAGACTTCTAGGCCTTCATTGAAGGCGTAATGGTTTCTGAGAACTTAAAAATGCATATCTGTAATTTTAGTTCAGTTTTATTTAATAGAGTAATCATACTTGTGTTTAAACTCTGCAAATATGATGGTAATACTCTTATTTCATTGTTAAGCTTTGGTTAAGCTAATCTTGAAACTCCCTACTCAAATTGGTTCAATCAGAATATATTTTTTCTCCGTGATATCTAGATAGATATAGCTAGCTCTCCCATTGGATAGGACTTCAGGAGCTGGACAGAAGGCCTACATGTTAGATTACCTACCAACGTAATGAGGAAGAGACAGTGGGGCACATTTTGTTTAGTTTAATGAGTGAGACAAACTTCATGAGAAAAAAAATAGTACTCTAGGCCTTCTGGAAGTTCTAGATATCTCACTGACTTTGAATATGAGCTGTAGTCTAACAAGGTTTCAGTCAAGTTTTGGCCCAAACTGAAGGTCTAGCTCTAACAGTCATAGTTCACCACTGATAAACTGTGATAAATGTTATTCTAAATTTACAGCTTGTATGTCAGGAATGTGAAATTCCACTCTGTGTCTGTGTTTAGCATGTTTCTGCCAAACTCTAAATCCAGAAATCCAACAGTGTTCAGTTCAGTACCGAATGATCTATAGCCAAGCAGACATATATACTGGTTTCAGACATGCAATCAATATGACAGAACAATCAGTTTTGCATCCAACACTGTCTCCATCACCTACAGTGTTTCTGTATCATCAAGCAATAAGTAGAACACACACACACACACATACATATAACACAATATCTATATATAATATATATATATATATAGATATATATATATATATATATACACACACACACACACACACTCTCCATAAAGTGTTGCAGTAAATAGAGCTATTAAGTAAAGGGAGCCATTCAGTACCTGATACTCTATTTAAATACAAAATTTTAAAGGGAGATGTTTTATTGTTTTCCCATCAAGTAGACTAATTAGTCCTACACTGTTAAAAATAAAGGTTCTGTGCAGGTACATTTTTCATTCATCAAGGTACAAACAATGTAAATATTCCCTCAAAGGTACAACAGTGGTTTTAACGTCCAACTGTATGTCTTAAATAAGTTTTTCCATGTGAGAAGTACATATTTGTATCTTTTCATAACTTAATGTTTTAAAAGAGAACAATAAAATAAAGAGCCTGGAGACGAGACGGGGTGTGTGGAGTCTTAAAAAATATCATTTTAATGGATTATGGTACAGTTATGTTCCCTGACTAAGGGTACTGAGATATACCCTTGAGGGTACCACCCCAGTGAGAGTGCAGTGTTTTTGTTTGACTAAGATTCTGACAGTTGACTAACTAGATTTCTTTCTTTCTTTACTTACTTATTTATTCACCTATTTGTAAGGCCTTCAGTTTAGGCTGTAAATATCAAAACAAACAAACAAGCAAACAAACAAACAAACAAAACCCACCTCTGCCATAATGCTAATATTTGATAGCGCCACCCCTTTGGATTTTATAATAGTATGCTAGCATTAAGCTAATAGTGGTGTACATTAACATTTTTTGGTCTCTTCTAGATAAAACACAGATATGTAAAGCTTGTAAAACACATCACACATGTTTTATTTGAAGTTTGTAGTGGACATTAACATGTATTTGACCTTGCATGTAGCAGTTCTACAGTGGCTCTTTCAGAAAAAGCCCTGGTATAGAGCTGCCACTGCTTTCTGTTTCTAATAACTGATTGTGTCTGTCCAACTACAGCCTGGTTTCACAGTCAGTGATGTATCTAGAGCTTCTAGAAGACCTAGGGTGAAATTTTTCTCACAAAAGTGGTCTTATTTTAAATCTAAACATGATTGGTTGATTTTTCTGGCACTTCCTAATTATTTCAGGAGTTAATCTAACACTTAAGACCTTCAGTCCAGCAAAGGACAAAGATGGTTTTCATTGTACTGGAAACTGGTGGGGGTTCCAGTCTCTGTGTCTCTCTCTGAGGTCAGTGGGGATAGTAGTGGTGGTGCGCAGTCTGTCAGCCTACCCTGAACATGACTGTGACTGCTGCCCAGAGTGACAGCGGCAGATTTACTCAGTGTGTCTGCGGTCACTGGGTTTAACACTAAACACAAGCAGCAAGTCAAATTGGGTCAGAGTGAAAGCCCTTAATGCATGGACACACAGAGACGCTGAGCCATAGCTTGTTGTGTCTGTGTTGTTGTCGTGTCGTGTCTGTACAGTTGGCAGATGAATGGGTAAACCGAGGTCATCCAGCAGAGAGATGGGACTAAGAAAACACCATATAAAAACATAAATACATTTACATGCATTGATCTGAAGGTAGAGCTGCATTCATTCTGTAATGTAAGATTCTCAGATTACAATACATAAAAGAAACATATGATTATTTTTAATGTTTATATATAGCTGTGCATCCAACATTTCTAGTGAAATGAAGGATATTAATAGGGAGTTTGTCCTCCTTTGCTGCAGTAACAGCCTCTACTCTTCTGGGAAGGCCTTACACTAGATGTTGGAAAATTGCTGTGATTTGATGGCATTCAGCCACAAGAGCATTAGTGAGGTCAGCTACTGATGTTAGATGATTATGGATCATAAGCGCCACTCCAACTCATTCCAAAGATATTGGATGGAGCTTAATCACTCTACTTATTCTAATAATAGTTGTTTTCTGATATATATATATATATATATATATATATATATATATATATATATATATATAATATATATATATACACACACACATGCAATACAACAGAATGGGGGGAGTGTGGTATCATGTATAACATCACAGCTACGATTTGGTTGCAGCCATGATGCTTTTATAGTGACTATTCTTTCCATCAAAAAGGATTGTAGTAAAGTTGTTTTTGTTTTGGACATTTGTTAGATTTTCAGCTTTTTCTCTCATGAAAACAAACATCCAAAACTAATCAAATCTACATTTTCTCACTCCAGAAGTACAGAGAATAAACTACAGCCATACATATTTGAAAAATGCCCATCTATAAAATTTGCTGAATATAATTTTTGGGAAAAACAGCTACAAGAAAGCAAAATGACATCAAATCATTTGTAGTAAAGAAAGTTACTTCCTTAAGGCCTACTACAAATCCCAGTTGAAGGAAGCCACTCTAGTGTTTTGATATGATTTTGCTTTCTTTTAGCTAAATATATTGGAAAATAATTTCGAAAAAACAGATTTATGCACTTTTTAGGCAATCTCCTAATGACTAAAGCAATAAGGAATGGTGTTTCTGGACCAGCAAAATTTACTGACAGATATTTTTGCTAAATATTTGGTTGTATTTTGTTCTCTGTCTTCTCAGGAGTGACAAAATGTAGGTTTGATCATTTTTGTGTGTTTATTTCAAGAGAAATAAAGAACATAAAATTGAAAATCCAACAAATGTGTAACATGAGACCAGCTTTAACTAGTTGTTATGGATGTAGCCATAACAATTTCACAATATCAGGTTCAGCTGAGCTTTTTTAACAGATGAACTTGAATGTGTTTTTGTTCCAGTCAGTCTGTAAAACATTTTGCAGGTGATTTTTGGAAGAATTGTATTGTATTTTTTTCTCCCTAATTCCAGTTGTTTAGTTGTTTGAAAAAGGTGGCTTAAGGGCAACGACAGGTTCCAAATTTGATATATAGTCTTGCTATTCTATAGAATCTGGCCAAAGGTCAAATATTATCTTATAGAACTGTTCTAATATTTTAATTTTATTTTTCTGGTTGTGTTAAAGTAGAAACATACTAAAAGTTAACTGCAAAGTAATCTTTATTTAGCACCTGATACTCAGTGGAGTGATACAGTTGTTGTGAAAAAAGTCTGTTATTTGTGATCTAGACTGCTTCTCAACCAGATGACATTGTGCTGTCAGAACTAACTGCTGTATAATGTGATTCAATATAAGTATATTGCATTGGACTTTTGATAAAGGGCAATATACATCATAAATATCTATAAATTGTACATGAAATATGCAAACTTAACGAATTTTCTAATAATGACAAAACCAAGCAGATTATTAGATACAAAATACTCAGGTTGGGATACTCATGCAAAAGAAATAATAACATCTACAAAGATTGGTACAAATGCCTGAGATATTTGGTTAAAAGTAACTTGTCTTATGACCTTAAATGTCACCCTCATGACTTTTCTAACATTTTTAGCTCATTTGTTACAGAACAACTTGCTTATCAAGCTTAGATAAGTCAACACTGCCCAAGGCTTTTTTTAACAGTGAATTGCAGCTTCCTTCTTAGTAAATAAACTAAATTGTGCAAACAAATCATGTTTTCATCATATTCTTCACTATTCATATTGAATTCATAATTTTGCTATTACATGTCACAAGCTGTTTAAGTGAAGCCAGAATGTTTACTGACCCATTTATGTAATAAACAATAAAAGATATTCCAGTGATTTCAGTGCAACTCTGTTTCTGCATAAACAACTAAAGAAATATGACCTAAGAATGGGTTAGAATTAAAAATAAAGATTTCTGACATAAAAGGCACAGCAAGTGTTTAGCATAAAGCTGACAAGTTTATTTTTAATCCAAATAAAAAACACCAAAGTACAGCATAATAAAGTACATTGATTATGACTTTTATAGCACAGTTCAAGCTTGTGCTGATGTGGGGGTTGTTATCCTAAGTAATTTCTAACTTTGTGGGAATAAATTGCTCTGATATCACTGATGAAACAGGTGAAGTTGGCATTATTTTGGTGTAGTTTAACCAGATATGCTGGATTCAAGGCCTCAGAGGCCCTAAAAAACACTCAATCTACAGCAGACTGAAAACATGACTCTCCTGTGGATTCTCGCCTGGCTCACCTTCATCGGCACAGGTTATGGTATGTAAACCAACTAAATGCAACTTTTTAATTGGCAGTATTGTCTTCTTTCTCATGGTATGGTGTCCTGTCAGTTTTAACTATTTTTATTGGCAGAAAGGTCTTAGCTGGGGTACCAGACTAACCCTACTACCTATACTGGGCAGCAGCAATAGAGAATGATGTCCACAGTGGATATTCACAGCAATGGCAAATACATCAGTTCACCTGTGTATAAGAAGGCAATGGTTAATCACTTCTGTACCTTACCAAGAAAACCACATGGGTAGATGCAATAGAATGATATAGAATGAATATGGGAAGATGGAAAAAGAGAATTCAAATCTGCACAAACAACATCACAGTCGGAGCTTGAAATGTATGGAGTATGGAAATTATGATGGGGTGGCAAAGGGGTGACATGGAGATTTGGCAGGGTGGCATGTTAATGTCTTTTTAAATCTTTTTAAAGAGATTTATTTAGTACAGATTTATGAAACAACTTCAAAAAACAGCAAAACAAGAAAATAATAACTTTGTACTAATAATAATTTTGCATATTTCACTGCACTGAATGTATCAGTTCCAAAGTGTGTCCACTGTAATGAGACAGAAGTGGACTACATTACATGCTTAACCAAAACAATTTTCTAGGCTGGCCAAAAGCTCTAAAGAGGTTGCAATTTGCAACTGAAATCCAGACTCACAAATTAAACTTCACATACTTTTTCTAATTATGCCTTGAGATGAATTCAACTGTAGTGAAACTCTGAATGCTAACTGAAGACCAAATGCAGCTCTAATATAGTTCTTGCTATTCTTTTTACTCATTTGTTTAGCTTGAGTGTGCATTTGTCAGCTACTTCCAAAATATATTGTAACAACTTTAATGATGGGTGGAGGAAGGATGCCGGGGGCAGGTGTGAAGACGGAGAGCTTTTTATTATTATTTATACACAATGCGAAAAGCACTCGGCTTTTCAGCCCAGAGACAAATTAAGACAAGACGCTTGCTGGGACTTTTCAGTCCTTTCTTCCTTTCTTTCTTTCTTTCTTTCTTTCTTTCTAGTTCAGTTCAGTTCAGTTCAGTTCAGCTCAGCTCAGCTCTCACGCCTTCATGGGTCTCCTTCTTGCTCTGGGCTCTGCCACCTACTAAAGAAAGAGATGACTTTAAGTAGGCTGGCAGAAACAAGGCACAGGTGAACATCATCAGCTACTCAGCCCGTTGGTTCAGCCCAACCGGCTTCTCCGTCCTGCATTCGACGCTTGGCCACACTCCCTTCTCCACATATATGTAGGACTGTTATGGTGTTGTTATGGTATTTAATCGGGTAAATCAGAAGTCCTTGAACCTTTTGACTGGAGGTCAATATTGATACCAAACTAGCAGAAAAAGTGGATGGATGGAGGACACATGAGGTAGCCTATGTAAAAAATTAATTGGTCATCTAAAAAAATTCCACTTCACAGCACACAGGTTGAGAACCACGGGTCTCATAGCAGGCTAACCACTAAGCCTAAGCCAAATAACATAGGCTACAGTATCAACATTAGCATGCCAGAGAATTTCATGTGAGCAGCAGAGCTGATGAGAGCAAAACAGTTTAGAGGCTTAAAAATTGCACTTACTGTTTGTAAACTGCACTGTCGTTTCACTGAAAAGTTGTGTCCTGCTGGCCCGGGGTCCTGGTGCTTGCACATGTTGCAGTCAGAGTGTGTAGTTTGGTTTGCTTTATGTTCCTACAATTGCAAAACAACTCTCCCCTTAAGGCAAAGTGGGACAGATCAGATGTAATTGGTAGGAATAAACATGCTGGCCAAACACCCACCCCACCGCAAGATGGAAGCCAATGACATGGCAAAAATTTTGAGGTATCATCTGGTGTGGCCTATCAGATCATAAGGAAGGCTCTGGCCACCCTAGCCACCCCTTTAAAAACTGCACATCTATGAATCATGCTAAGCTGGAAGCAGTGAAGATGGAAATGGATTGTCTTCACATCAACATCCTGGGAATCAGCAAACATAAACTGACCTGATTAGAATGTATCAGTAAGGAAACTATTCAGGCCATTCACAGCCAAGAAGAAATGGAGTGGCTTTCACTGTCAATAAAGATGTCAAGGCCTTTACTGGAAATAATGGTGTGAATGATCGACTGATGTCAGTGCGATTGCATGTGCAACCGATCAACATTACCGTCATACAAATTTATGCCCCAACAATAGATGCAAGTGAAGAAGACATTGAAAGGTTTTATGATGAACTTCAGGCTAAAATTGATAGGATCTGAAAACAAGAAGGAGGGAAGTATTCTTGGGCAACATGGCCTCTGAAACTGGAATGAAACAGAAGAATGGCTAATTCATGTCTGTGAATCAATCATTTTTTTATTACTAACACACTTTTCAAGCAACTAAATCAATGTCTGTTCAACAGGACATGAACAGGCAGAGTTCAGCGAAACCTAATAGACTGCATTCTTATAAGAGATGAAAGAGTTCTATTTTAATTGCATAGTCATGGCCTGGAGCTGATTGTGGAACAGATCACAAACATCTAATGTGCGAGTCTAAACTGAAAGTCAGAAAAACAATCAAACCATCAGATTTCCAAAATATGACTTGGAGAACATACCACCTTTTTTTTTTCAAGGAAAACATCAGGAACCAATTTCAGATACTAGATATAAATGATAGAGAACCAGAAGAGCTATGGACAGAGCTCAAACTTGAGAAGAATGAAGCCAAAATCAAGGAGGATAAAGAGCTTTTAAGAGAAACAACCCCTGAATTCCAGGAAGGACAAGGACCAGTACTACAACAACATCTGGAAAGACACTGAAAATAGAAACAAACATGGAAAAACATGTTTTGCAAAAAGATATGTGAGATCAGTAATAAATTTCAGCCTCAAGTTGGTAAGATAAGAGACATCAACAGACAAGTCATAACTGTACAGTACTTTTGCATATAACAGTTTGAATTTCTTCAAAATAAATTTTATAAAAATTTGAGCTTCAGACTTTGAGGTCATGGTGACACTGTCGCTCAATTAAGACAGTAATGTTGATGAAAATGATTTATGCTCATTAAGTGAGGTATTGTTCGTGTGATATTTTAAGTTTATGGTGTCCCAGCTTTCCCCACTGTGATCCCTGGATATGGCAAGATCATAGGCGGTGGAGAGGTACTGCCCCACTCCTGGCCCTGGCAGGCGTCTCTACATGTAAGACTGACCTCTTATTTTTCTCTTTTGCTCTCTCAGTTACTGAACTCACTTAATGTAATTAAATGCATGCCAAAGAATTTCTTTAACTGTCATAGTAAGGTTTTGTGATCAAGTCTGTGGTGTTTTATAGTTAAATATGTGCATTTTGTGTGGAATTTTGGGACATCATTTACGCAACAGGCAGATTATGCTGTATCAAACACGTTATTGTATGACTGCTATAATATTGATGTAACAATATTGTAATAATATGTCAAAACATGTATTGTCATCAGCTTTTATTAAAAGTTTTCTATTATTTAAATGTTAAAAGAGTTGAGTTTTAATATATGTGAACCAGAGCAAAGGCAACATGTCTAAACTTAACTAGTGGTAAGGTCAGTTAACATTAGCATAGCTTGCTAATGCTAACTAGCTACTTAAAAGAATGCTGGCTTATCTAGTACAACCGATGTAAAGAAAAGCATAAGATATTCAGGTTCAAAGACGTTTTATTATTTATTTTTTATAAGTTATTTATTTATTTTTTCACATGCATGTCATTATATAGCGGGATTTAATGTTGATGATTTCACTTAGTAAGTACCTTTTTTTGTATCTAATTGCCACTGCTACAATAATTTTAGCTAGCTATGGGATTCAGTGTCTATGGGATTTGCAGTGACCTGTTAGCACCAAACTAACGGGGGTGTACATTTGCTTTCCCACTTGGGGATTTAAACGGTATAGCTCTAACTTAAATACTGACCTTTGGAGCTTGTATGAGATGACATATTTTCCTTTGTTTATTACAGTTTTTAAGCGACGCTTTTAGTTAGCAAAACCTAAAGCCTGAGTGTTGTTAATAGAAGAGCCTATTAGCCTATTAGCTTTTGAAAGAACAAGTGTACTAAAATGATATTATATATATATATATATATATATATATATATATATATATATATATATATATATATATATATATATGTGTGTGTGTGTGTGTGTGTGTGTGTATATTTAACAGCACTACACTTCTGTTAATACATAGTCTATATAGTATTAATAGTACAGTTTTGTACTGTAAACAAACATTACAGTATGAGTGCCTGAAATACACGCTGTCAGTCAGTTGCTGTAAATTTACAGTGTAATTTTTACACTAAATACTTTAATAATTGAATGTGCTCTAGTATTTCAACTTCTCTTCCCAGGATTCTACTGGCTTTTACTTCTGTAGCGGCTCCCTCATCAATCTGTACTGGGTGCTGACAGCTGCTCACTGTAATGTCAGGTAACAACAGAAGAAACCGCCCTAAAATTTGAAGAAAAACAGAAAATGCTATGTATAACTCAAATAAAATCATCATAAAATCAATCAGCTTGTGCAATAGTACATTTTAATTTAATTCTCATTTAATTCTCAGTTGCAATGGCACAAGAAAGTTATCTAAAGGTTTAATTGTACTTATTTTATGCCTGGTCTTGACTGAAAATAAGTAATCTCAGTCTTTTGTTTGTTTGTTTTTTTGGCATTTTTAAACTATAAACTAACAAACGAAACCTATTCTGATGATTCCCATACATCAAAATATTGAACTAGAAAGATATTTTGAATATCTTGATTTGCAGAACATCCACCCGTGTTGTCCTGGGTGCACAGTACCTCTCGTCTAATGCTCAGAGTATTCAGACCCTGCCAGTCGCGAAGGTTTGTATCTTATAAAGAAACAGAATTAATCATGTTCAGTCGCAAAGTGTTGGAAAGAGAATGAGATATTGTTAGCAAATTCATATGTGAGATTCAAATAAAAATGATTGATCAGCCAATACATAAGATATAGAATTATTCACCTGAAACCTCTTCTTCCCTCTCACCAATACAGGTTTTCACGTCCCCTACCTACAATCCATCCACCCTCAGCAATGACATCGCCCTGATCAAGCTGGCCTCTCCTGCCCAGCTCAGCAACAATGTGTCTCCTGTGTGTTTGCCTGAGACCAGCGACAACTTCCCACCTGGCACGTCATGTGTCACATCTGGTCGGACCAGATATAATGGTAACAGATTAGCCTACACTGTATCTGAATGAGGCTTTGGCTGTGTTCACACTGCAGGAAGAAGTCTGCAGTGTCTGTGAACAGCAAAAAACACACAGTTTCAATTCCAATCGGGCCTCTTTGGCTACACTCAGACAGCAGGTAAACATAGCCCAGATCTGAGTTACTGTCCAAATCAGATTTTTTTGTTTGGTCATTCACATTAGCAGGGATGCAGGAAGGTTATTTATGGTGACATCCCACATAAATAAAAGTAATGCATGGCCATGACTTAGCAAGGCAAGGGAATGAGATAATTGAGTCATGTCCATGACTTAAGGTGTGGGAATGAGATCCTAATGCATGGCCACAACTTAGTAAGGCGTGGGAATGAGATAATTAAGCCTTGACCACAGCTTCATAAGGCATGAGCTCATTCCCACGAATTAATTCAGTTGTGTCGACAGCTTATTAAGGCATGGGAATGAGATCCTAATGCATGGCCATGACTGAGTAAGGCATGGGAATGAGATAATTAAGCCTTGACCACAGCTTAATACAGTATGATCTCATTCCTACGCCTTACTAAATTGTGGCCATGACTTAGTTATCTCATTCCCAGGCCTTACTAAGTTGTGGCCATGCATTATTTTTATTCATACGGGATGTCACCAGCAGGGCTCTGCAGTTATGTAAGTTGGGGTGCTGAAGTTTTGATCAGCATGTATGTGACTTGAGCGAAGACATCATGCAGAATGTTGATGTTTTACATCAAACAGAATGTGTCGTACAGTGCTATAATGAGGCTAGAGATGACAATATACACACATAACTGAAACATCAGACGACCGGCTCACGTACTCTCTCACTCTCTCGTTCTAGATTAACTTTATAATCTGGGTGGTCAGTCAGATTGTTGATATGTGGCAGGGTAACCGATTGGCCATAGTTTTTGAAAATATTAAAAAACAAACTCAAACTCTTAAACAAGCACATATGAGTCTTTACTACACTCAAATTACAATAAAGTATTAATATTATTATTATTCTTTTTTTACCATTTGCAGTCCTGTAATCAGGGGATGTTGCAGCCCCTTATAATGGTTGAGGCAGGGAGGTGGGATGCAAATGCGAGTTGCTTTTATTCAAATTAGAGTTAGAGTCCAGAATCTGAGTAGAAGAAGATTGAAAAACGGACGAGTCCATGACAAAAACGAAAACAAACAAGAAGAACGCAAACAAGAGACAAGGAAACTTCCACAAATACATCCACAATGCAAGACAAAGACTGAACAAACACAGGGGTATAAATACACTGAGGGAAAATAAGAAACACCTGGGACTAATGAGGGGCGGAACACAGACAGGTGGAGCAGATAACAAGGGGGCAGGACCAGGGAGGAGACACAGAACAACAACAAAAGCACATGGTATAAGAAAACAAAAGGGACATGGCTACAACAGAGGGGAAGAAACAAACACTCAGAGGGACAAAGGAAGAATCCTTGACACCCCTTTAGGACCCCCAATTCTGGTGTCCCTGTACATTAGCTTTTTAAAGTGGCCTATATCTGGCATCAGTCTGAACAGATCACAATCCTGAACTGACCTGCATGCACACAAGAACACACTCATCCAAACAACACAGCCGTCCTCTACATTTCCTTAAGATTCATAGACTCCTTTCATGTGACATTGAATTTTAACGTGTGCAAACTGATACTGTAAACTTGGAGAACAAGCTGCAGACACCTGCACAGCCTCGCTAGCCAGGGTTTACAGAAAAGAATCAAAATGATGAATTTCTGTGCTTGTGAAGCTGTGAGGCTCAGTTTCTTTCGTTTACTTGCTGCGAAGAAGAATACTTGCAAAGAAAAGCAAACTCAGTTTGAAACCAATAAAATATATTGCATAAAGAGACTTGGTCTAAATGAGGCTCCTTTGACCCTTTTGTTTTGTTTTGAATTGCTGTTAATTTGATTTTTTCCCAGCAGAAACAGTTTCTGCTTATTTGTTTACACCATCTTTACTTCTCTTGCTTGTCCTCCAAAGCAAAAGAATGTTTGAAGCATAATTATAGTAACCCTAGTAACATAGTGGCATTGCTAGTATTGCATATGTATCAGAATTCAGTACCACATATGAAAGGTTACGTTCACATCTCCAGACAGAAGTAGAATAAATCCATTTTTGTGCCCTAATGTGACACAAATCTTTTCAAATCAGATCTGAGCCACTTTCCCCTCTTTCACATGTGGCCCTAGATCAGATGCATGTCTGATTTATGACCCTGTGACCTTACTCAGAACGGTCAGATCAGAATTCATGTGTTTTGTTGTTGTTTTTTAATTGCCCATGCACCATCATTTGTCATTGTTATGGCAGCAGCGTCTAACCTGAAATTAGTGTCAGTAAACACTACAAAGAGGAACACATCTGACCCTTTTTCACCTTCGTCTTGCTCTAATGATGAGCAGCTGAGAGCTGTTCAAAGCAAATTATCTTCGTGATGAAGGCTTGTTTTGCTGGTTAAGTTGTTTGTTGTCTCTGACGCATGTGGTTCATTCATGTGATGTTATTCATTAGGATGTGTGCATGCAGGTCATTTCAGGACACAAGTTCATTCCCACATGACAAATTTGAGTCACACACCTGCACAAATGTGAACCAGCACGTTCAGATCTGAGCAAAAGAATCTGAATTAAACAGTGAGGTCTGTATTGTGAATGGATATAAAAGTGGCCCAAATCTGAACTGAAACTGTCAGATTCAATGTGTTTTTGCTGTTCACACTGTCACACAAAAAACAAATCTGTGTCCCATAAAGAAAATTACTGGATTGCTATTCTTCTTCACAGCAGGTACATGAAAGAAACTGAGCTCACTTTCTTTGCTGGAGGGGCTTCCATAATTAAAACAAGCAAAGAAATTGACCATTTTTACTATTTTCTATAAACATTCACAGCTCATTATTATTCTTAAGGAAAGGTAGAGAGAGGGCAGGGAAGTGGCTTGCAGTGGTTGGTATAGTGTGGTGGGTAACAACTGTGCCTTCTATGCTGTAGACTGGCGTTCAGTCCCCTGCCTAGGCAAGCACTTTAAACTATACTAATAGTTCCTTTGGCAAGACTCCTAACACTACCTTCGCCTACCTGTGTAAAATAGTCATAAATGCACATGGATGGGTGCATTGAAATGACCCGCATGTACACATCAAACTCAGTAACATCAAGTGAATTAATCACATGCATCACGTGCATCATCAGCAAAGAAACTAACGAGCAGAACGAGTCTTCACTGCGAAGATAATTAACTCTAAACAGTTCTCAGTTTCATTGTTAGAGTGAGACGAAGGCAAAAAGGGTAAAAAAAGTGAAAAAAAGCACATGAATTCCAATCTGAGTGTTCACATTAAGGTTGCATGGCCACAAATCAGATACGTATCCGATCTAGGACCACATATGAAAGTGGCTCGGGTCGTATTTGAAAAGATCAGATTTGCGTGTCCACACATCCCTGAAAACATCAGATCTGAGTCACATTAGGGCAACAAATTGGAGTTGTGCCACTTCAACCTGGTAATGTGAATGTAGCCCAAACACCAAAATCAGATTTGGGCCACTTTTACCTTCAGTGTGAACGTAGACTTTGGGTGTATATCAAACGAAACTGTGGTCTTTTTGTAGACTTTTATATAAATGCTTATATTAGTGTTTAGTGCTACATTTTTCTAGACCAACTTTATTCCAAAATGTGAAATTTCAAATCTTTCTTTCCATTTCAGCTGGAAACACTCCTGATCATCTGCAGCAGGCTGCTCTGCGTCTGGTGACGATCGTGAACTGCCCTCTTAACTGGAGCTCTGATTTGATCTGCGCCGAAGCTTCTTCGTGCATGGTAACATGGATCAGTATCAGTATCAGAGCAAAACTGGGGAGGAGGGTGACTCGAGAGAATAAAAACAAGGTGTAAAAGAACCAAAGGGCAACATCACCCATGCTTGTGACTCCTCTCCCAGGTTGACTCTGGTGGCCCTCTGGCCTGTCAGAAGTCTGGAGTCTGGACCTTGGCGGGTGTTGCAACCTGGGGTAGCAGCATCTGCAGTTCAGCCACACCTGGAGTGTATACTCGTGTCAGCAAGTTTCGCACATGGATTGACCGCATCATCGCTGCTAACTAAAGCTTTCAGAGCCATAGTGACTTGAACCAGTTATCTTCAACCTGATGAATAAAAAAAGAGATCATTTCAGTGCACATCCTAGTGTTCTTTTCTTTATTTAATTTTGGTGTCAACCTGTTCATTTTAGTGATAATATACTTAAGCACAAGTAAAAGAGTTCATTATTGAAAAGTAAATCAGAAGGAAATCATCTTGAGTAACTGAATTACTATTTTTGAGAATCCGCAATCACAACCTGAAAACATTTCACGTCACTTGTTGATATCATTGGACCATTATCCCTCCTCCACCAAACTTTACTGTTGGCACTATGCATTCTGGTAGGCAGTGTTCTCCTGGCATCCACCAAACCCAGATTCATCCATCAAACTGTCAGATCGTGAAGCGTGATTTATCTCTTCAGAGAACGTTTCCACTGTTCCTGTGCCCAGTGGCGGCGTGCTTTACACCACGCCAGCTGACACTTGCCATTGCAAATAGTGATCTCAGGCTTATGAGAAGCTGCTCGGCAATGAGAAGCGATTTCATGAAGCTCCCAATGCACAGCTTTTGTGCTGATGTTGCCTCCAGAGGCAGTTTGGAACTCATAGTCTAGCTCTTCATAGCTTTTGTTGCTCTTAGATGCTTCCATTTCACAATAATAGCACTTACAGTTGCCCAGGGCAGCTCTAGCGGGACTCGTAACAAAGGTGGCATCCTATTACAGAGCCACCTTTAAAGTCACTGAGCTTTTCAGCATGACCCATTCTATGTTTGTCTACAGCGATACAGCTATGTGCTTGATTTGTATACACCCGTTAGCGATGGGTTTGGCTAAAACTGCTCAACTCAGTAATTAGGAGCCATATAGAGTAATCCACACACACAGCACACACTGATACATACAAAATTCCCACAACAGAGCAAGTCTCCTCACACAGTCTCTGCTCGATGTATTATTAATCTGCTTCCTCATGACCTCATTACCTGGCTGCTATCCTCTGAACTCCCAACAACCACACTGTATACAGTGTTTGGTCAGAAATGAAACTGACCCTCTGCCAGAATCCTACAGAGAGCTTCAAAATAATCTCTGAGCTGCCTGATATTTGGGGTGAGACTGAATTTTTGGATGTGTGTGTAGAGGCTGGGGTTTTGAGCCAAACTTCATAGTGCATTCATCAAGACAAAATTCCTGTGTGTAACATACTTGGTGAAATAAAGTGATTCTGATTCTGATTCTGATCTTTAACGAAGCCCAAACATTGACTGAGGAATCTGATGATCTGACACACGCTCGCCTGCCGTCCCAAGTGGAAAAGGCCCGGTAGCCCCCAGCGAGGCCTAGGGCAAGGTGAGTGTATCCAGTCTCATTACGTCTCCACATCACACCACACCACACACACCCTGCTCCACATTCTCCGTTCAATTACTCAGGGTCAGACAAGACCACATCAGCCTGCGTTATTTACCATAATAGTCCAGCTGATGAGACTTGCTCAGGCCTATTTGAGTTGCAGAAAGCATAATTGATGACAGGTCAAAATGAGTGGCAAACACTCTGTTAATAACCTGTGCATGTTTTCAAGGTTTGTAAGCTTGAATATCTCCTCTCCTGCTGGCTCTGACCAGCGCTGAGCTAAAGAGAATGCTACTGCCAGCGATAACAAAAGCAAACTGTAAATCATTTTTAATTATCTCTCACTTTAGTTCATTGAAACAAACGAAGAAATTCGGTTGAAAGTGCAGCTTCTAAACTTTCCATTCGTATTGCGTTTGTGTATGTAAGTAGTAGAAGAGATATTTTATTATTATTTGAATTTGTTGTGTGGAAAAAAAAAAGCCATTTTTACTGAAACAGTGCAAATTAAGTACAAATGACAACATCAGCCATGTGCTTTATCAAGTTGTATTCTGAACACATTCTTAACATTTTCTGAATATGTTACTTTTTTTAACAGAATAAGTGAATACATTGAGTACTGTGTGTTTAGTATTAAGCCATTACCACTTTTTATGTATTCTTCCCCTGGGAGTTAAAAGGAGTTATAAGGAGTATTTTGTGACGCAGGTGATCATGTGACATGTGACCCATCAATCAGGGTGAGGTTTCTGAATAAACAATGTATGGTTTTGTTTAGCAGCCAGGGCACATCACACATTTTGCTTTAAAATGTCTTTGTAGGTTGAAGCATACAGCTGGCTTTAGTGTATATGAGCAGCATACACTGTACAAAAAGCAGGAGTGCCAGACAAAAATCTGTTAATTTCACAGTAAAAGATTTTTTTATTTTATTTTTTATTTATTTATTTATTTTGTTTTTTTTTTCAGTGATGGTAAAAATCTGTAAAATTACAGTTACTTTACTGTAATTCACCTTTACTGTAATTCATTAGTTCAACTATTCTGACCTACAGTATTTTACCATATAATAACAGTAACAATCTTCAAAATAAATGTAAATGTCTGTGAAAGAAACATCATAATACGTTTTTGATTTTAAAACTATGAATACAATGAAAAGGTTTTTGTTTTGTTTTTTTTTTTTTTTTTTACAGCGAAGCATTGGTCTTGAATTTGACAAAATTTCACAATGTCTAGTGCATATATATATATATATATATATATATATATATATATATGTATATATATATATATATATATATATATATATATATATATATATATATATATGGTGTGTAAGCACCAGCTTTGTGTGCTTCACAGATATCACTTGAGACTAGCCTAGCAGCTGCATTTTGGACATATGCTAACCTCATAAGTAATTTAGTAGAGAGTCCAGTGAGCCAGGCATTACCAGTTGAGTCTGCAAAGTAATCTAAATGGGATGTGAAAGAGGCATAAATACATGCACATCTGACTCAGTAAGTAAAGAATAAAGACAAGAAATATTTCAGAAAGTGAAAAATGCAGTCTTCACTACTGAGCTCATATGAGCTATAAAAGTAAGCAAAGGAACAACGATGGCACCAAGGGTTAAACTTTAAAATAAAAGGCAAAACGAATTAAGCAGCTTTTTAGCTATGTACAAAAACATGGCTAAATCCATAAAGTACTAACCATTACCCACATTATTCTGCCCCTTACACATGCCTGGATTAATAACAGGACAGCTGAGCTCAATAAGTACAGACAATAGGAGGCACACAGTCATTTGTCTAAATGAACATTATTACCTGCACTCATTCTTTTTTTTATCCTGAGGAAGAGTCACTCCCAAAAGAGTGAGTCTTTCCCCCCATCCAGAGAAACACAAAAGAAAGTCATTGGAGGCCTTTGTGGAGCAAGGAGCTAATGAGAGAACTCCCTATTGTGAGCACCTGGGCCTCTCGCTGTACATCTCCAGCTAAACGCATGGATCGTTTGACTCAATCAGAACCAGCCATGCATCAATTAATGCATAATTATGCCTAAATAAATGGAATGGGGGAGAATAGATTTATTACAGACGGTTTTATGAGCGATAAACAAAGCAATCGATCAATCTGCCGGTGGGTAGAGGGACGTTAACATGCTAGTCAAACGCAAGAGAATAATCTTCTCCTCGTTTTATGTGCTTAAGCCTCATGGAGCATGTGGGATGCAAATAAATCGCAAGGCAGCGAAAAGCAGACAGGCTGCTTCCTACGATGCAGAAATGATTAACATAATGTTAACATCACAGCTTCATGACTGAAGGAGTCAGATGAATGTTTAATATTTATAAGAGCGTTTTATTTGATGATGCTAATTTTATGGTAGCACCTTGTGACCATTTTTGAGACTGCAATGATGCTTATTTGCACCGTTTTTTCACTGAGAGCACGTATCATTTAAGTGCAAGTCTTCATTTTATTAAGGATATCCACTATATTCAATACTATTTGACACACAATTTGAGTGATTTTTTTGTGATATTACTATTTGTACTATTAATTTTTTTCACTTTTTTACACGAGCTTTATATAAATATTTCAAAACTAATTGAACAATAGAAATGGTCCAAATTACTTGGAATAAAATTTTGTTACATTAACGTACATTAATGTTGACAATGTATTTCTAAGAAATCTATTATTTCAGTGATTTGTCACGATAGCAATTATATACAAAAAAATGGTAACACTTTATTTGGATGATTTACCGTAGATGCTATATCTTTAAGTAAAATTCAACTAAATATATCTTAAATGCAACTGAATTTTAAGTTGAGTATTCTTTGGATGGTCCACTGTAGATGCTTTGTAAATGTCTGTTTATAAGTAACATTGAACTAAATATCTATTAAATGCAATTGAACTACAAGTTCAGTGTGAAAGAGTTTATTAAACCTATACCTACTCCTGACCTTAACCCTAACCACAGTGTTGATGATAATCAACTGAACATCACCGGAAAGTTTGTTAATGATTTAAGTATCTGTAGAGCATCTATAGACGACGATCCAACTAAAGTATGACCAAAATAACAGTGTGAAACTGGAAGTGTACCATCATTTTAGTGACCAGCAGTGTATTTAAGGGGTCATATAAGTTGAAAAAAGAATTCTCACTTTTATGAAAACTACACTATGTAAGCTTTGGGGATTTGGAGACCTCTCTGGTGGAAATGTGTAATTGCATGCAATGTGCTGAAGAACATTTTGTAACATCAGTTATGCTATGATCGGACACCTTGCCCAAGCAGATGTAGTTAAAGATTGAGAAAAAGAATTCAAAGAGAACTCAGTCAAAACTTGGTGAAGGGCGTGTCTTCTGAGAATGTACATGAATTATCTACTATTGTTATCATATCATATCATATCTGTATAATGTTTATTTTGCATTTGAGACCTAAACATCATCAGCCTTCTTTTGGTGCTTGTACATGTGATGTTGATCTAACCTGTAAAGATGCATGACATGATCTGAAAAACCTCTGCCAATCCAACTCAACACCTCAGGCTTTACAGGGCGACTCGCAGCATTTTTTTTTTTTTTGTGACACAGTAATACTGTTTTTTCAACTTTAACAAAAGCATCTTCAATAGTACAGCTTTAAATAAAAGACTTTGATGTAGTATGTAAACATGAGTTTACATGCATGCACAGGGGA